TTCCTTTTGCCCAGGCTTTGGGATCCAAGTCGAAACCAGGCACATAGTTCACCACAAGACTTGGACCTCTAAGCCTGCCAAGTCTGGGAGCCACCCCCCTTGCTTTGAAGGGATGCCCCATTATCAGAGCAAGGGGACATTTGTCAGCCTTCGCTGCCGTCTGGGTCCAGAGCGTAGTATCCAGGGGCTGCAAACTTGACTTTTGGTCTCTGCATCCTCCCTACTCCCAGGTTGTGGAATTTGCCTTCCTCTCCGCAATAGGGGGCTTCCTGCCTTTCATTTCACCATCGCTAAGTGACTTAGAGAAGTCCTCATTCAAGCCTATAGTCCCTTTTAAGACACACTCTACCAGATCTGTTAGTGCTACATATGCTTTTTAACATCAGGCATCTGTTTCAGATTTGCAAGGCTACCTCCTGGGCTTCCAGTCACACTTTTGTTTTACCTGTTAGATGTTCAGGCCCCATGTGATGCTAGTTAGAGCTCTATTGTGCTTCAAGCTGCTCTCTGAGTTGTTGAGCTCCCTTGATCCATTGTTACGTGGGCCTGTTAGTGTTGCTGTGGTTGCTTTGCTGACCCCCCTCAGTTGGACGGCTTTTGAATGTCCTATGTTTAAGATCCTGTGTCTTTTAATTTTACTTTGATTAGGAAAGGAGAATTGTGTACTTATCTGTAAAAAATTTTGGTTGGAGTGCAACATAGCTCCCTCCCCTCAGTTGCTTATGATCTCCTTATTGCTTGCTACAAAACATAGGCTTAGTGGGAGGGGTTCTGCTAGGGCTGCTATTGCAGCTTTTTTGCCAGTATCCAGTCACCTCAAGGTGGCAGTATAACACATGGTAAAGACGGCTCCTGTGTCTTGTATTGTACTCCCAAAAAATTATTTTACTGGTAACTAAAACATTCTGATTTTCACACTACCTCATCTATTTAATATTTAAATTCAAGTGTATCTAAAGACAAAGTTTTTGGATAGTGTGGTGGAGGGTTAGAACCTATTAACTGCTATTTGTTTCCTTGCTGAGAGATTCATCCTCTCTGTGTGTGCTAATTATCATTGCTCTGGTACAGAAACTAATGGGAAATCCAACTTTTGTAAGCTGTCACAACAACAACAAGTGAGGGATACCTGTTATTGTGACGATTGTCTCAGAGAAGATATGCCCTAACTTTGGAGAGACTTCCTCTTACTAGGAAATTTCCTAGAAGACACTCTTAACAATTCAGCACTCAAACAAAACAAAGGGGGGGGTTGTGCATTATTTTCATTAAGGAAAAAGTCTTTCATATCCAGAATATATTGGTTGAGAAAATAGACATTTTAGTTCCATTCCATTCAAGCTGGTCTTGTAGAACGGTTGCCTCCTGGCTATTGTTTAATGTTCATAATATCTTAGCATTGCACACTGGCCATGTATCAGAGCAACAAGTAACTCTTTTTATTAGGTGAGAAGGATTATCACTTGGGTTGTGCACGGGAGCCAAGAATTATGTTTCCCATGTAATGCTTTTAAGGGTTTACAGACTGTTGCACTGCATAACTGACTAATTGCAGGCACAGATCTTCATAGCTTTAAACATGTGACCCTTATTGTAGCAGTATCTTTCCATCTCAATGGAACCATTTGCTATATTGATATATTTTGATATATATTGATATATTTTGTAACAGTATAGACAGTAAATACATTGCTAATGAAAGAAAAAGATCTACAAAGCATACTAAGTTTACACGCATCAAACAATAGTCATTATAGGTATATTTTTCTAATCATCTTGACTATCCACATTTGGTATTCCTTTTACTTTTGATGAGATCATTTAAATGTGGTTATACTGTACAAGTGTGTTCATTAGAATTTAAGTGGAACTTAAATCTTCAAATAAAAAGATTGCTGGCAGGTAGGGTTTTTTTTTTTTTGGTAGAATAGACTTTGTATGTCTCCTTCAATTAAAGCTGCTCTACTGCCTACCATACTACCATACCAGCAAAGTTTCTAATGAATGTACACTGAACCATGCACATACCATGCAAATGCAGTCCTTTGGCACCCTAGACAGGGATGCCAAAGTGTGGTCTCCCCCCCAGCCACAATCCCTACCCCCGCACTGAGCTCTCTAATTTGTCAAATACTAATACAGATTTAAAACATTTGTATACAAATAGTTGAAAGAAAAAGCTAAGAGGCACAAATGGAGTTGTTAATACAAATAAGTTTAACTAAAAAGTTAGGTTTAACTACAGATTTAAAGTAGATTTAAACTGTCAGTTTAAATAGTTATGTGGAAAAACATAAAAAAAAAATGAATAGGTGAAAACTTACCTGTGTCTCCGCCGCTCCCTCCCATCTGAAGCCTCTCGGACGGCCATGCAGGATGATGGGGTGGGCGCATGCGCAGTTGAGATCTTTGGCAGGGAGAAGAGGAGAGACACAGTGGAATTAAATGCACACGGCCGGGAGCACGCACGTCGGACAGACATTGTGGGACAGGAAAAACATGAGTGTTTTAGAACACCCCCATTTTTCCAGGTTTCATTGAAACGTAAGCAGTTTAAGTCCAGTAAATAACCTGAAATAGTACAAAGGTAAGCGGTAAACTGCCAGAAGTGGGGGGGAAAAATAAGTTTTCACTTGCACGATTACATGCGGACTGCCTCTTACATATGTGGCCGCTGTCACCCAGTCATTAACTTGAACAGGTACAGTGGCTGCATATAAACAGGAGATCTGGGATTCCTGCCACAGGAAATTGTAGTTTCCTGTGGCAGGAATCCCAAATCGCCCAGTGTGAATAAGACCTTACAATGAATGCTGCTTCTTGATGTTTAAAAGTTTCAGCTGGTCCCCTGAGCACAAGTCCCTTTTTTAAGATGGCTCCTTTCCCTTTCAGGGTCCATTGGAGCACCCTTGTGTGTGCTAGTAAGCTCTTTGTGTCTCCATAGGCACAGCAGGAAAAGTCAATGTCTTGCTCTGCTCCTCCCTTCTCCAAGCTAGTAGATGGACAGCTGCCGGAAACTGTACTGTCCCTTGTGATCTTATACTGGACAAGACATTCAGGGAAGCTAAGCTGAGAGAGTTGAAGCCAGCTGTTCGGAAACTCTAAAGTGCATGGGCAAATTTTTGAGGAAATACTGCCAGGGACATATATTTGTTTCCTGTAACCCCCTGAACAGCCTGGGGGAGAAAGGGTCAGTAGTATCAGCCAATTAGGCTATTAATAGACTGAACAGTGCTGTTAGTCTAACATCAAACCTGCCAACTGTCCCTCATTTGGAACCAAATCCCTCTGTCCCTTTTTCCTCCCTAGCTGTCCCTCTTTTTGGGCTGTTGTACAGATATCTATGAAAAGGTTCTATTTACCTACCAAAAGTGTTATTCTGCAGTAAAACCTTTAATCTTATGTCTTCATTATCTTTTTTGCTATTTTAAACAGCTAGTATAAAAGAAACATTATTATGAAAAAAAGGCTGTCCTGGGTTTAACCAATAATTTTAAGTAGGGATGCACCAATACCGTTTTTTTTCGGTACTCGCCGATACAGATACTGGGAGTCCCATTAAGGAAGCCTGGCGGTGTGTAATGGCTCGCCACTTGGCTTCCTGATTAGCCGGGAAGCCAGGCGGCGTGTGAAGACTCGCCACCCGGCTTCCCGATTAGCAAGGAAGACGTCTCCATGCTCCCCCATCACCAGGTGACGAGAAAGCATGGAGGTGACTTTCTGGCCAATCAGGAAGCCGAATGCTGTGTAATGACGTGTTGCCCGGCTTCCTGATTGGTCGAGAAGCTGGCCAATCAGAAAACCAGGCAGGTAATGACTCGCTGCCTGGCTTCCTGATACTGGAAGCTCACGTATCGGGCTAGGCATCGGAGCATTTGAGCAAGTACGAGAAATCGACCAAATACTTGGCATCAGCACCGATACTAGTATCGGTATTGGTGCATCCCTACTTTTAAGCATATAAATTCTTATTGGTCTACATAACTGGGGGCATGGCAGGGGTGTGTCCATTGCCTAAATACTGTACTCTGTGCTGGAAAGTGTCCCTCTTTCCTAGAGTTGTTGCTACCTTATCTTTCAGTGAGGAAACACTACTGTATTTATTGTAGTATAAGGCTGTAGAAGGGTCTGTGTTGACAGGCTTTTGCTTGTACCAGAGGTGTTTTGAATTCCCATACAAGTCTACAGGAATAGAAAACCTACTTGAAACAGGTCAAAAGGATGTAATCTGCTAGGCAAGGTAAACTGCAGGGCAAATTAACTTGTCCATGAATTCCAAGTGGTTTCAGACGCATCTCAAAATTATGTGAAACTGGTGCCCGTCCACACAGGCCCTAACTCACAAAACAGAATCAGAAATGTTTTGAAAGGTGAACCAATTCACCTACATAAAGAACATATTTTTCCTCTCTACGTAGTGTCATCAGAGCTGGCCATCTTTTCTCTACAGCTTTCTCTCTAGTCAGTATTGCACCGTCAACCACACAGTATTTTCACTTCTTTTCAGCTTTAAGCCGGCATATTGCCTTTTTTTTGTCTTTTATAAAATCATGGACTCTCTTTGTCACACCATTGTTGTCTTTCTCCTAAGACAGAGAAAAGCTGCATAGTAGCAAAGATTCCATGGATAAGGTTTATGGGAGAGACCCTCAGTTGGCTTTAGCTTTAATGAAGGGGTTTCCCACTGGTTTATTGAAAATGGTAAACCTTTTTAATTCTCCTATAATTTGTGACATGTAGGTCATTCCTCATGTTCTCAGGAGGACTGTCTGTTTCACTTTGCTCTAAAAACAACATGTGCTCATATTGGTACATTTAACAGTAATGTAGCCGCTAAGACTGAGTGAATCAACTACAAAGTATTTACACATACACCTTTTGAAACTTTATACTCATTTTGGGAATAACTTATTATATAATTTACTCGTGGTTAAGCAGCAAATGGTTTCTTTTAGTGCGTGTTTTACGTGTTTATATATTTCCTGCTGTTTTGTTTGTAGCTGGAACTCCAGAAGACAAGATGCGGTTGTTCTTGATCTATTACATCACGTCTGCACAGCCTCCATCAGAGGTACTGCCAGTACTATATTTTACTGCAAATATTTCCAGTACATTTATGAATGAATTGTGAATTGTTTTTTTATCACCGCAGTCTAGAAAAATAACAAAAAGAAACCTTTGCAAATCAAAAAGATGCTGAGGATTCTCTTAGGTAGGCCTTTACTAGGAGCAATATGGTAGTTCCTATTGTTTACCTCCTTCCACAAATGCTAGTTGCTTGGCTTTCATTTTAACCCTGCAACCTCAGTAGTTTCTATGTCTCTGAGTTGGATCGAGTATGCAGATCATGAAAGACAGGGTTAAAACCCACTGTGTTGGTACCGCTGCAGGTCTCATAGACTTCAGGGCTAAAGTCACAGCTCTGCAACTCTCTCTTCATGACCAATCACAAAACAGAAAAATAGGCAAGATTCAGGCTGGGGCAAACCAATAGGATGGGTGCTCACTCTGCCAATGCTAGGAACCACTGCGGCCTTAAATTTCCTCCTGTTTGGTTTTCCTGGACACTTAAACTGGCATGAATCTGGCACAGAGAGTGAGGAGACTGATGAGGACACAAAGCTAGATTCAACGTCCTACATTCAACTTTCACTAAATGCCTGTAGAGTAATTCTTATTTAGGAGATATTTCTGTTAATCTAGCAATGGGTGGACTCTGGAAAGAATATTAAAGTGCAGGAGGTCTCCTGCTTGGAATAAATTTAGGTTCTGATCTGTTTGGTGTTCAAATTCTGGCCTTAATATTGACACCATACAATGGCTAACGTTGCCTCAAAGCACAAGGATATTGCAAATCTTTGTTTATGTTTTTCAATTGCCTTGCCCTGTTGGAACAAATTGGACCATCCTTTTATAAGGTTTTCTTTCTCTGGATTAACTGTTCATATAGGGTTCTATATATGGAAATGTTCAATGTATTTAATATTTTTTCTGTTGGTTGAACTCAATGGACTTGTGTTTTTTTTTTTTTCTCAACCTAGCTTGATCACTAGCATTCTCTTGATTTTCACAACAAGTAGCCATATTGGCATATATTGCATGAGACTTTCAAAGTATTCCTCACTAGTGGAAGCAGCTGTCAAAATACAGCACACTATATAATGCCCACTGGAAGGCTTCTAGCTTGTCATTATGGGCATTAGTATGTTGATTTTTTTTATATAGAAAATAGTTAATCCAAGAAGATATATGTAAAATTCTTCAATGCGATTCACTTGTTCATGGTTATACTGCTTATTTCATCAATTGAATGACGTTTTTATACCTCCATCTGCTCATCGTTATCCTAGAATACCTTTTCTAGATGGTACAAAATGTGTGTCATCTTGCATGTCCTGTCAGCACTGTGCTTTTTTAATTCTTTCTTTGAAAACCTATTAAAATACTTTGATATAAAATTATTTAAAGATTTAGTTTATGACTTCATGCAAAGCTGTTTCAGAATCCCAGTATTTTTGTGTGTCTGGTTTGAGACAGCTTGGACCATATGGCCATTTCCTAAATTCCCCATTTGCCATTAATGATTCTCTGGTAATGGTTAATTTAACATTCATTTATGTTTTGCAGGCAATGAGTACCAAGATTTTTAGCCTTTTATTAATAAGTGATGCACATAGTAGTACAAATATCAGCATCTAATAATGTGAGTTAAATTGTACGTGTATGGACTGTATATGTATGGATTTTAGTTGTTGCAGAGGGTTTGGGGAGGTAAACATTTGTGTGTTATGTACATTTATTTTATGTCATGTCTTATCATTTCTGTGTCAGACTGACGTGGATCAGTATAAGAAGGCACTTGAGGATGCAGGATGCAACCTGGCACCTTTAAATTACATTAAACAGTGGAAGTAAGTTGTACCATTTATTTTTTATGCATTTTGTAGTTACCACTAAGAGCTTGTAGACCAAAGTAATGCAGTTTATATTATTACAGTAATGTGATTTTTAAAGGTCTTTTTTTTTTTTTAATAGAGCATTTGCAAAAATGGCATCAGCACCGGCTAGTTATGGGCTTTCTGCAACTAAATCCAAAGGGTAAGAAATTAACTTGTGTTGTTTTTGTGAGTACTTTACTAGTAGAAGCTTATTAAATAGCTGTATCAGTTATAAAAAAAACATATGATTATATGTCCCAGGCTTTTAAAATTTGTTATAAAGTTTTGTAGGTGTTAATGGGTATTAAAAAAGAACAGGCAATATACACATTCAGTGGCAAGTTTCTTTAAACACCATATGTGAATATGTTGATTATTATATATGTTCAGGTTGCAACAACAGGATTATCAGAATTTGATCCCCATTTTTTTCTTTCTTTTTTTTGCAAGTGCAGACATTCATAAATGCAATACATTCAGGGATTGTGTCTATAACACACTGACAGTTCTTAAAAGAAAATGTTAATATTACATATGTAATTGCTACCAAATTTCTCAAATAGGAATATTACGAAAATGACTTTCTATTTTAGACTGCAGCCAGCTGATTTTCTAAAACGGCCCAAAATTAAATGTTACTTTTAACCATGGCAGTGATTTGTGTACAGAATGAACTCAGAGGTGCATTATCTGCCAATAGGAAAGACTGCCTTTTCCCAAAGTTTTTTTATTTATCACAAAGCTAGATCTGAGTATGTTATTATAGCAGTTAGATCCTCCCAGTTTCTGGAGGTAGTAAGTGGTTTGAAGGCAAGTGTCAGATAACTGCATCATATAAAACTCTGTAATTAGTTTAGAGAGGTTTGTTTTCCCTAAAGCAATAGAATTCTCTTGGGGATGATCAAATCTAAGCAACGCTTTTCCTATGTGGGTTCATTAACACAGCCACAGAGGGCAATACATGTGTGTGTATAGGTGCCTGAAAGTCACAAGTTATCCATACAGCCTGTAAAAAATCAATGATAAGCTGATCCCGCACATCTGGCCTTGCATCCAGGGACAGATGCAGGACCCTGGACGCAGTCTGTCTATGTTCTGGACTGCGTATCCATCTTTGTACGGATGTAATGGTCGGATGTGTGGGGAGATCCGTACAGCCAATGCATCTGTCAGCCTGTTGTTTAATTTTTACAGGCTGCTGGCCAGAGCTGCACATAACACTCCTGGGCACATACATACATACTAGCACGCACGTTTGGCCCTATATGGCCATGTGAATGAGCCCTTATAATTAGCCGTATGCTTCAAGCAGGAGTCATCAGAAGCTTCCAAAAAGTAATTCATTGCACTAGGTGTCCCAGATCTCTGCTATGGGACTGGCAGCATCCTTGCTTTCCGGGGACTGGCGGCATCTATTTTGATTTGCCACTGTAGTTCCACTAAGGACTCTGTAAAACTGACAACATAAATACCGAAGTAAAGAAAATAGTATAAACACAAAGAAAGGCTTACTGGAGCGCTACTTCATAATCTCCCATATAAGGAAAACTGTAAATATCTTCACACAGCCTGAGATTGCCATACTATGTCTATAGTTATATTTCACATCAGATGGATATAAAGGGAAAATTAAAAAAAAGCAAAAATGTAAAGCCATCTTCTAGCATTTGATCTGATACAGTCAATATAGAATGAAATTATTTTTTTTCTATCAAATCCCATTTGTGTTCATAATTAAGTTAAAAACACATTAACACAAATAATACATTTTAATTGTAGCCATATTTAAATGTTTTTCATTCTACCCAGTTCTGACAATTATTTTTGGTAAATTAGCTAGGTGCTGGATGAAACATACAAAGTATGATGGAATGTATTTAAAAATAAATGAGTATTATTTGTGCAAATCCTTCCCATTCTCCTGCCACATTGCTGTCAGTGACCATAGTACCAAAAACCACCTGTTGTAACTCTCCACTTAGTAGACTGATTGAATCAGTCTAATGGCTCTCCTATGAATGCTCTTCTGACGCACTAAATGCTAAAAGCTAAAAGCCAATATGCACTTCACTAGTCGGCTTTTAGCTTAAAGGAGCTACAGCTCGCGGTATACTGAGACGCCGCAGCTCAAGCAGATCCCGACAATTATGTCTGGATCCGCCCATCTGCGTGAGTGACAGCTGGCTCTGCCTATCTAGAGGCAGAGCCAGCTGTACCTTCCCCCGTCCGATCCGCTAGTCAGCGCTGGCGGATCGGAGCGGGGATGGGGGAATCCAGCCCCTCCCCTGTCACGGCAGAGAGCTGCGACAGGATCGAGAGGTGAGCAAACGCCGGTATGTGTTCGCTCACCTCCCGATCTACTGAGCCGACCTGTGACAGTCTCATTGTCACAGGTCGGCTAGAACTATGAGGTGAGTGAAAAGCACTCACCTCATAGTTCTCCTTTAAAGCGTAAAACCCCTTTTAAGAAGTCATTCTTCTGTAAGTTATTCTACATACAGTATTGTCCTCTCCTCAAGCACAAGTCACCTGTATGTGACCTGTTGCTCTCACATGTTAGGTTGCAGCCCTCCTAGTAGTATTGTGACTTTCATATTCCATCCCTATTAGGACAAAGTGTTTCTGTGCCATTCCGTGGGAAGCTGGAAAAGCTGCCAAGGTTGGCATTGCACATTTCTCTTCCACCACAGAGGATCTCTTGTCCCACTGTGCCCCCTCTCCCTCTACTGTCAGACAGATTACATAGACACATCTACAGCCGAAGCCTTCAAAGCTACACACTGTTTATTCAGGTACAATGATGGTCTTCTCTGCAGCCTGTGCAGTGTGGAGGATCTGGCACAGAGGATGCATCTCTTTATACCCTGCCTTCTTTTTTCTACTTCCAGGCTGCTCTCCAGAGTCATGAATACGGGGTCACAGTTTGTTATGGAGGGGGTGAAAAACTTGGTTTTAAAGCAGCAGGTAAACGTTCTATGGAGCAGGCTTTATTTTGACAAGTGTAAACTAGAATCTCCCCCACCGCCGTTGAGAATGTCATTAAGCTGCATGTGCTGAGTGACTGCAGATAGGGTCAGCCGTGAGTTTAGCCCTGTCTTCGGCATGTCATTATACTGTGGTGCACCACATATACACAGATGTGTGGCCGTCCAGTCCTGCACAGAGCACACAGCCTGCATTCAGTTTAAGGTAATCACGTTGATACTAGTGTTGCAATTCCACTGTTGAATGCTGTAGGGCTGAAACTCTTTGTGTTCCCATCCATCACATCTGCATATGGGTTAATACAGCTGCCTTCCTATCCTGCCCAGTTCCCCCATCCTGTTTGTTTTGGCCGCTCAAAACAAGAAGCTTTGTGAAAGTGTTTGGACATTTGATACACACACTGGGTACAGAACTTTCTGTCACATTTCCCGCTGTGCCCTTAGTAAATGTGTCTGCTCTTCCCAGAATGTCAGCTGCAAGATGTGAATATCTATAGCTAGTAATGTGTGTGTCTATGGAAATTTAAATTAGTACACCATATTGTTCTGTTTTACGCCAAACATAATACTAGAGACATCAGTCACCTATATAAGATAAAGCAGCTTTGAAGGGCCATGGGACAAGTCTGTACTCCCAACATTTCTCTACTACAAGCCAGAGGTCTGAGACCCTTAACATCAAGTACAGGCAGCTTCTGGCTTCCCAGCTGTGATAAAGTTGTAATGCGGGCATGGATGTTCGAACATAATAATTATGATCACACTCTACTAAATCTACATAGCACTTCACAGCAGTTAATTGGCTAAATACTGCTTGCATGTCTGTGTCTCACTTTTATACTTGTCTAATGGCACAAACTAATCCAGTGAATATAGAGTGTTCTACAATTTAAGCCATAAATAGCCATATATAGGTTAAGTAACATCATCTTCAAATAAACCTATGATTCGCCCATGCAGGGAAAAGCAAACAGGTTCACTTAAATTCCTCATTATACGTACTTTATTTCGCTTTTGCTCCATTTGCTATTTCTAAATTATATACAGAAGCAAGGTTTTTTAACATAACAATTTTATCATTTTATTATTTTTATGTTAGGGTATAATTGCAGCAAACATTTTTTTGTTCAGTTTTTGGATAGAATCAGAAGGACCACAGTCAGGTATTTACTTCTCTGTTTGTCCCTATTGGGGAGATCCTCTGAACTTCCTGTCCCAGAGACACAACAGGAAAGAGAGCGACAATCCCTCCAAAGTGAGGGGAGATCCCTTTTTAACAGTTGTCATCCAAGAAATGTCCACATTGCATGGTTTTCCCTGCTCCGGTGGCCAAATGTTTGGATTCATCCTCACTTTCTCAGTGACAATGATCTCCAGGACAAATAGTGGGGTTAGATCTCCCCCAGCTAGGACACAGATGGCAATTAAGACCTGACAGTAATTCCAACCTTTCCACACTCCATCCAAAACTAGAAAAAAATGTTTTACCTTAAGTTATTCTTTAGGCTGATTTCATTCACATATATATTATAGATTCCCCTTGTGCATTTCGGTAACATCAGTTTGTGACAAATCTCACAGTACATTAGATGTGCTCCAGTCCATACCTGTCGGTCTTTGTCTTTATAGAATCTACCAGTCACCCGAGTCCTTGATTGCCTAATGGAGGTGAAATCCAACCCGGTGAGTAACTTACTTACGATATTGGTCATGTAGTACCTCGGCCTTTCCCGTATATAATCTACAGTTACAGAAATAGATGTAACATTTAAATAAAAAAAATAAGGCAAGATCAAAGCTTTCTGGAAAGCAGGTTATAATTTGCTTTGTAAAACCTGAGATTTTTTTATGATATGCATAACCTCAAAGTGGGCATATAACATTTGCAGCTGTTTTGCCAGCCCCAGGCCTATTCTATGACGTCTCGATTCCAAGCATCATAAATATATTAAAGTGTTTAAGGATCGCTCTGTTCCTACCAGTTGTTTTTATTTTTCTTCTTGTATATTTGTGTTTTGTTATTGGTGGTTTTACTTTATTTGCTTCCAGCTGCAAGTTTAAAAAAAAAGGAATTAGAAAAAAATTTGTTTTTGGAAAGGACTCTGGCCCCAACCGGACGCCCTCCTTAAAGCTGGTTCCTTTGCCAGGAGCTCGTAAACTGATGGCTCTGGGGGCCATGTGTTTGTATACAAAAGCTTGATCTCCATGTACTTGTCTAGTCCACATCCAGGGGCAGCTTGAGCTGAATTCAGTGTTTCGATCAATTTCCACACATACATAAACTTAATGCTATTTAATTTTACATTTACAGTTTGGAATTAGTTCTTTATAAAGCACACACCTTGGTAAAAGCTTTTGAAGGCCATCCTGTAAAAAATATGTACAGTATGCTAGGGATGTGAACTATGAAAATAATATTTTAGTTGCTTCCTGTCTGGCTGAAGTTTTCTATTGTGCCTTGTTCATCACTCTGCCGGTATTCATTTTCCATGTGTGTCAGCAGAGCAACCCAAAACAGGTTAAGGTGATCAAAATTCTGATTTTAAATAACAGTAGAAACTAAAGCTTTTGGCTAAAATGTTGCAACTTAAACTAATTAAACATCTGTTGGGTACAAAATTCCAGCACTAAATTTCAGGTGTCAGTATGGTAAAGAATTTAGGGATATTCTGTGTTCAGTATTGTTTGAAAATCAGCTGCCATGCATTTTACTTCATATTTTGGACATGTGTGCTATCCTGGTCCCCCACACGCTGCTTTTAGAGTTCACTGGACATGAGCAGTGGCCCTGCTATGTGTACATGTGCTTAAAAGACAGTGCACGGCACTGCAGACAGGGCTTGGGTGGTCTTTATAAAGGCAAAAGTGTAATTGTATAGTACTGTTATAGTGGCACACAGCAACTAGAAGACTGTCATCCATAATGAAGTGCTATTTTTAAAGTGAACTTGTGTTAAAAGGTTCACTTCAATGTGGTGACCTGCATATATAGTCACCCTACTTTTACTCCCTGCAGTACCATTCGCCTGCCTGGAGTGAAGAGAAATATCAGATAATTCTAGGTATGGGGAGCATGTGACTCTTTAGCCTTCCCTCCATGGCACTGTGTTGGATGCTTGGTCAGCTAATCTGAGAGAGCTACATGCTGTCCATCCCCAGATATGCTGGGTTTCTCGCTTCACTCCCAGGGGCACACAGGTTCACACATGTGAACCTCACCTTAAATAGTACACAGAACTATCATTAACAAATGGCGTATTGATGGTTTTCAGTCTGTGAACCTAAAATTAGTATTTCAGGGGAGGTACTCTGGAGGCTGTCAACAGAAAGAATCAGTTAGTTAGATGACTAGACACACAAATATAGATCTAATAAGAACACATGCTGTTGTCTACATTCATTGTATATTATAATCACCCCATTGCTAATGTGTCCAGAGAGAGAACACGGGTTCTCTTTTTACAACTTAAGGTTCCAGTGTTCCAGTTAAGGTACCAGTGTGAAAGCAAGTTGGGCTGATATTATTTTAATAAGCCTGTTAGCCACCTTATAAATTAGGCAAACAGGCTTACAGTTTGTGGGGAGCCAATGTTTTCATATGTGGAACACAGTTACTAAAAAAACATTTACATTTTATCTGCTGTATTTATTTTATATATATATATATATATATAATGCTGATGTAATATGCAGCACTTTACACAGTCCCCGTCACTTAAAGGAGCTTACAGTCTAATGCCCCTGTCACTTAAAGGAGCTCGCAGTCTAATTCCCTGTCACTTAAAGGAGCTCACGATTTAATGCCCCTGTCACTTAAAGGAGCTCACAATCAAAGGTCCTGATCATTTCAGTCCAGAAAAGGGCCAATAACCATATTTTTCTGGATAGTTAGAGGAAACACAAGGAGAGCATAGAAACTGTACTAACAACTTAGCTGTCGCACTGCCCAGTATAGGTTGAATACAGATTTGAACATGGCACAAAATGTGGTGTAATAGCAGCAAAATTACAATATACTGTATATGTATGTATACATTTTGTAATTTACTCATGCTGATGACCTTTTTCATCCTACAGGAAACTGATGACTACAGATACTTTGATCCCAAGATGTTACGTGGAAATGACAGGTGACACCTGAATACCTGAATATGTTTGTAGAATAGAACAATATTTGGACACTCAGTACAGGAGCCCATGCAGGAAAGATGGCAGCTACTCTGACAAAATCAGGCAGTGGGGTCCTGAACAGGCAGTTTACTCCCAAGTCTTGATATTGACTGGGCATTGTTAAGAAGCTGAGGCATAGAAATAAATATCTGCTTCCTGTCCTTGTAATGCATGCAAACGTATGTCTGAAATGTTTTAAATATTATGAAAAACGGTATAATAGGCTTATGTAATATAATGTTTAAACATTGTTAGTTGTAGAACATGTAAGTATTTAGTGAGATCAGCGGCGTCACAAGGGGGGTGCGGCCCGCACCCGGGTGACACCATTGGAGGGGTGACACCAAAATGATTTACAGTCATTTTGGTGTCACCCCCCTCTGAAAAGTCGGCCGCTCGGTCATGGACCGAAAGCCTGACAGTATCAGGAGAGAGGAGGGGACCCGGCGGCATACCTTATCCCGCCGGGTGACTGTCCCCTCCTCTCTCTGCCGGCGTCCATCACCAAGATGGCCGCCGGCAGGAATCAGAATACTGCCGCGCGTGCGTGATGACGTCACGCGCATACGCAGTGACGTCTCGGCGGGGTGACACTCGGTTACCGCTCGGGTGTCACCCAGCCTCGGGACGCCCCTGAGTGAGATCTCCCCTCTTTGTCAGCTTGGAGCAGCACCAAACAGCACCGATAACTGTACAAATACTAAATGCAATTTCTAAAACAGGGAAATCCTAAAGTGTCTCACATTAAAATACAGTTCATCTAAATGAACAAGTGGCTAATAACTAGTGTCAAATGCGGTTAAGAGAAGTGCTTTTGTAGGAAACATGTTGGCACCAAAGCTTTTTCTAAAGAATGTCCTGCTGGACTAGGTAAAAAGAAAAAAAATGAAACTTTCACTGAATGCTTAAGTCTAGACTCTTAAAGTTTTGATCAGTCGTATACTGTGGACAAATTGGTTGGTATCCTTACAGTTCATTGAAACAATGCATTTAAAACAATGCAATTAAAAGTACTTTTCTCATGTATACCGGCTCGCCTTTGGTATGTCATAGAGTAAGGCAAAGAAAATGTGAAAAGAGATAACTCATTGCCTATTGTACAAAGGTATTCTGAAATGGTCTGGACAGATTTGTTGGTACCCCTCGAAAAGATTATAAATAATTTGGATCATAGTAATATTTCGGACTAACTTTGTAATTAGTATTACAAGTGTCTACAATCTTGTGATCCTGTCAGTTAGCCTATTTAAGTGGATAAAAGTAGCCAATCTGATGTTTGTTATCATTGTGTGCACCACACTACAGTTGTAGTGTATTATAAGGACGCCTTGGGTTCATGGGAGTGTAGCCAACCTTCTTGGACAGGGCCGCAAGAGGAAAATTGACCACAGATCGAACAGAAGGATAGTGTGAATGGTAGACAAAGAACCAAGGAAAGTTTTCAAAGAGATACTGAACTCCGAGGTCCAGGTACATCAGTGTCTGATAAAACCATCTGTCACTTTTTGGGTAACAGTGGGCTCAATGAAAGAAAACTCAGGAGGACTCCACTGTTGAAAGAAAAACATTTAAAAAACCGACTCTTAAGTGCATATTGACAAGTCACAATGCGTCTGGGAGAATTGTTCTTTGGACCGATGAGACATAACTGGAGCATATTGGCAAGTCACATCAGCTCTATGATCACAGATGAAAACAAATTAAGCTTTCAGAGAAAAGAACACCATACCTACTGTGAAACATGGAGCAGGCTTGGGTATGCTTTGGGGCTGCTTTGTTGCATCTGGCATAGGGTGAAATCTCAAGACTATCAAGGAATTCTAAGGCGAAATTTACTGCCCAGTGTCAGAAAGCACTGCCTCAGTCACAGATCTTGTGTCCTCCAACAGGACAATGATCCAAAACACACAACTAAAAACATTCGTAAATGTTGAAGTTGAATTGTCGAAAAAGTTGAGTACTCAACATTGGACTATTCTGAAGTGGCCTTCTATGAGCCCTGATCTAAATCCTAACAAACATCTATGGAAAGAGCTGAAGCATCCAGTCTGGGGAAGGCAGCCTTCAAACCTGAGACAACTAAAGCAGTTTACTCCATAAGTTTAGACCAAACTACCTGTTGGCAGATACAGTAGTCTCATTGAGATCTACAGAAATCATTTGCTTGCAGTGACTGAATCTAAAGGTTGTGCAATAAAATATTGGGTCACGGGTTCCATCTTTTCTGTCCATGAGATTTTCATTTGCTTTATTGTTTAAAATATTCTAACAAAGTCTGAATTTTTGTTAAATATGGAAAAAATCTGGGGGGTATTTTTTTCCTGGAAGGATACCATCATATCTGTCAACGGCTGTATTATTTAAAAAAAAAACTGTTAAAATAGAAATTTCAGAGCTGCCCTCTGCTAAAATGTTTTAAAGACTCTTTAACTCTAAGACATTAGGAAATATTTTGCAGCTTTCTAGTCCTTAGACATGGTGACTACATTTTTTTCCTATCAGCAAGGAGCTGATCTCCCGTCCTCCTCCTCCTGACGCCCTCGGAGCCGGTCACGGGATCGAAGATGGGGCAGCGAATCCCGGGAATCAACCCGGCTATGGACCCGCTGATCGCCTATATGTGAAACACCCGGTAACGGGTGTGTGCAATGGTCGGGTCTTTTCTGCCCGTGCGTGACCGCTAGGGGGCGCGCGCGAGCAGAAAAAAATTGCCGTCCGGAGACGGCAACCCGCAGATGTAGCGGTGCCGTCCGTCCGTTTTTTTACTACGGGCGGACGGCAAGAGGTTAAACCCAGTGACCCTACCAGTAACACAATTCCTGCCCTAAGGTGACAGCACTCACTAACTCTGCTGTATTTATGGAGAGACAGCATTATCATTCTAAGACAGAAGGTGTGTTAGGACTAAAGAACACCTCCCCTTTCAATAACACAGAAGGGAGGGGTTTTGTAGTCCACAAAAAAACTGGAAACGATGCTGATAACAGTACCGTTAAGGCAGAGAGCAACTAGCTTACTAGATTCCTGGCAGGATCAACAGGTAACATTTGTATGCAATAAATTGCTTTCACCCGTATATTTAACAGACTAAAAATTAGCTAATAAAAGATGTTCATTGTTAGGCTGTAAATGCTTTTTCAGCTTCACCACTTGGTAAGTAACTGTCCAGGAGGAACTCAGGAGCCAGGTCATGAGTCCCATCACTTTATTAGGTACCAGTTATGCTAGGATCAGGCTGACAGTGATGCTTCAGGCAATGAAACCAGGATCAGGATAACTGTGCCCCACCAGACAGTGAAGCTAGGATCACTGACACACCAGACTTTAAAACCAAGATCATGATGACAGTGCCTCACTTGGCAGTGAAGCCCGGGATCAGGATGACAGGCCTAGAGCCTGAATGTTTAAATCAAACCAGCAATGGCAGCTCCCAGAGTTCTGTCCTCTCCGATTCCTGTCTAGCTTTACTATCTCCAAGCTCATTAGCATGGACCTGAAGTATGCTCTTCATTGGATTAACATGTACCTTTTGTTTTGTAATAATAGTTCTGTACCAAGGAACAAGAACCCCTTTCAAGAGGTAAGCCAAGTAACACCTCAATCACAATATAAATATCCTAATTGACTGACAACCACATATAATTCCAAGAGAGTTTTGCACATGCCGTACCTAAAGTTCTTGGCAGATTTGAACATCATGGGAAGTAATGCTTTCTATTTTTGTGTAATTTTTCTTTGTAATTATGGTTCTTAGCTCTTCTTACACTCAGACTCTATAAAAATCAGGCCTGTGTCAAGTTCCTGCCAGAATCTAACAGTAACTGTAACTAATTTGTATCAATTTCATAGAATATCCACACATCACTGAATTCAACAGTATCCGGATAAAAATAAATGTTATTTGGTTTATGTATAATGAAGAACCTCATTCTAAAATGTTCTATCATTTCTAATGACACAATTGTTTAGGTGCCTGAATGTGTCATGTTAATTCTCTCATTTTCTGATTTTGTGAGGACTGCTGATATAATAGCTAGCTGTTGATTGTGAACTTGTCAACTATTTTAAACTTTTAAATGAACTCCTGCCTCAGCCTACACCCCACGAGGTACTCGATGCTCTTTCTGTGCACCCCTCTAATCCTTAGTTTTGCAAAGGGTTCGAGGTTCCCTGACTTTAGCGCTTGGCCCTGCCCAGCAGCCATCTTCTGTCCTATGGGAGGATCTTATTGGCAAAGGTGGAGTGTACAGAAGAGGCTAACAAAAGTAATAGTGATGGGTTCCTTTTTTACTTTAAGATAAATGGAAGCCTTGTATCTGTGCATGCCTCTCTTCACCGTACATTGTCATGAATGAAATACACTCACTGGCCACTTTATTAGGTACACCTTGCTAGTACTGGGCTGGACCCCTTTTGTCTTCAGTACTGCTTTAATTCTTCGTGGCATTGATTCAACAAGGTGATGGAAACATTCCTTAGACAGTTTGGTCCATACTGACATGATAGCATCACACAGTTGCTGCAGATTTGTGGGCTGCACATCCATGATACGAAGCTCCACCAGCCTAAACTGTTAATACAAGGCAGGATGGATCCATGCTTTCATGTTGTTTACATCAAATTCTGACCCGACCATCCGAATGTCACAACAGAAATCGAGACTCATCAGAACAGGCAACGTTTTTACAATCTTCTATTTTACAATTTTGGTGAGCTCTTGCAAACTGTAGCCTCAGTGTCCTGTTCTTAGCTGACAGAAGTGGCACTCTGTGTGGTCTAGCTCATCTGCTTCAAGGTTCAATGTGTTGTGTGTTCAGAGATGTTCTTCTGCATACCTCGGATGTAACAAGTGGTTATTTGAGTTAATGTTACCTTTCTATCAGCTTGAACCAGTCTGGCCATTCTCCTCTGACCTCTGGCATCAACAAGGTATTCTTGACCAGAGAGCTGCCGCTCATTGGATATTTTCTCTTTTTCAGACCATTCTCTTTAAACCCTAGAGATGGTTGTGTATGAAAATCCCAGTAGATCAGCAGTTGCTGAAATACTCAAACCAGCCCCTCTGACACCAACAACCATGCCATGTTCAAAGTCACTTAAATCACCTTTCTTCCCCATTCTGATGCTCAGTTTGAACTTCAGCAGACCATCTTGACCATGTCTACATGCCTAAATGTATTGAGGTACTGCCATGTGATTGGCTGATTAGATATTTGTGTTAACGAGCAGTTAAAGAGGTGTACCTAATAAAGCGGCCAGTGAGTGTATACATCACATCTGTCTGCTAGTTAATAGGAGTAGAAATTGAACAATTCTGAGGAAGTGACTGCACACAGTTCCTATTTTAATTTTTATTTTGGTCTTCCATATGACTATTGAAGCCATGGGTTGTTATTTTTCTGAAGATGCACAGGGGCTTTGTAGTCAGATAAAATGTAAATGTACTTTATGTAACCCTGGACAATTTGAAAGTGAGCTTTTGATGAAAAAAGAAAATGTATAAACAGATTATAGTGTCTACTATCATTAGACTTCATGCACATCTCAATTTTTCCTGTAAAAGTCTAGCTTGGCCTTGCAGCCTTCTACCTCACATTTTTCCTTGCCTGTACCTGGGACATGATTAATTTAATGTGAATCTTTGGTTAATTCTATGAACATTCAAGTATTTACATAATATTATTCAGTACATAAGCTTTAAAAGAAGCCCTCAAATGCGTCTGTAGTTGCAACCACTGTGTAGCAATTCATCCTCACATGAGGTTCAAGTGAGAAGCATTAAAGGAATTCAAGTGGTTCTCTCAGCAGCTCAGCTCACCCTGCTATGTTATTGTCTAAAAGGCTGTCGTTAAATAAGACATCATTATTATAAATGAGGGATTGTTACAAAGCTTTTATACTATAAGGGCTTGTTCACACCAGTTAGGATGACTGGTGTTTTTCCGTACTGGAACACCACGTCACTACAAGAACACACAGAGGTTTTTTTTCTATGTGCCCATTTACACCACAAGGTTGGTGCGAAGTCTGGTGCACTAGATGGCTCCTGGAGGCTACTGCAGCGCAGGACATCATGCTGTTGGACAGAGACCTTTGAATGGAGTGTATACTTTGTATACTGCAAATAAAGTAAAACAAGCAACTTAAACAGTGTCTTGTGTGCGTAAGAACACAACTGATGTCACTCAGCAGACACCAGCCACTTGCTCAAGTGCAGCATTTTAGCATTTATCTGGTGTGAACACAGCCTAAAGCTTAAACAAATACATTTTTGTACAGATTTGCTGATGTGCTAGCATGTGAGGAAAGATATTGAGCTGTCATCAATATAAAAGACTCATAATGGCCTTATGCAACTCGTATTCTAATCCATAGTAATCATTCTTTAGTTATGTAACATCACTACAGAGAAAGTAATGTGGAAGTAATCTGAATTATTTGTGGACTACAGAAACTATGTTTGTTATATACACTTAAAGGAGAACTATAAGGTGAGTGAAAATCACTCATCCTCATAGTTCGAGCCAATGTGTGACAATGAAACTGTCACACTTCGGCTCAATAGTCAGTCACGGCTCCCCGCAGGGATTCCCCCTGTCCCCGCTCTGATCTTCCAGCACTGACTGGAGGAATGGACGGGGAGGGGGCGGGTATAGCTGGCTCTGCCTCTTGATGTAGCTCGCGATATACTGAGCTTAGGGTCACGGGAGAAAAAGCACTTACCCCATAGTTCTCTTTTAAATTGGATTACAGGGTTAAAAAAAAAAACGTGCTTTTACAAGATTTCAGGAAGGGACTTTCAATTTCAGATGCTGGACATATCTTGCATTCCCAATAGGAAACAATGGGTACCTATACTGTTATCTCCAAATAGGAAGACTTTGGCATCCAGATACTGTCTGTTGCTTTTTTTCCATGTTCACAGTGCAGTTATTGGCCAAATGTGTCCGATAATCTTCCACACAATATGGCACTGAAATGACCAAAAATGTACAGCTGTACAACTGAGTATACAAAGGATCCTTCTGCACCCCTGGCATAGGCATAGTAAAAGTAAATCTGTCTGCACACACACAATCTGAGTACAATGTCCATGCAGAGACATCCCTTAGATTTACCAAAACAGTTTAATACAAGGGGCTACCTAAGCAATCCATTTACTTTCCAGACAGGCCCTGGTGCTACAGTGTTGGTAGTAGTCTTAAAGGAGAACTATGGGGTTAGGGCTTTTCCCCATAGTTCTCCTAAGGGTAACGGGAGGACACAAACTAGCGTCCTCCCGTCACCCTAAGACACCGCAGCTGAAACAGATCCCGACAATTATGTCTGGATCCGCCCAGCTGCGTGAGTGACAGCTGGCTCTGCCTATCTAGAGGCAGAGCCAGCTGTGCCCGTCCGTTCCGCCAGTCAGCGCTGGAGGATCGGAGGCGGGAATCCAGTCCCTCCCCTGTAACGGCTCTCTGCCGTGACAGGATCGAGAAGTGAGCGAACGCCGGTATGTGTTCGCTCACTTCCCGATCTACTGAGCCGACCTGTGACAGTCTCATTGTCACAGGTCGGCTAGAACTATGAGGATGAGTGAAAAGCACTCGCCTCATAGTTCTCCTTTAAAGGAGCCTGCACATCCAGATGTGTGCTCAGGAAAGATTGTGGATCATTCTAATCTTGTTTTTTTTTCACTTACAGGCCATTGTGTTTGTTGTCGGAGGAGGAAACTATATTGAATATCAGAATTTAGTAGACTATATAAAGGTTGGTGTATATCATGACTTGCTTGCCTCTTTAGTGTATATGTCAGATGGTATAGTTCTCTTCATTTAGGGTATTCTGTTTGTTATTGCAACACATTATTTTATTTAATCCTCGTATAGAGGCTCTCACATCATCATCTACTTTCTGTCATCAATGAATAAAAGGGCTAACTTTGATGGTGTGAAAACCTATGTACATGCTCATTCCATCAATTATGTATTGCTTTAGAAAATTATGTAATTTCTTTATCTTTATTTACACTGCCACATGCCATCTAAATACTAAAACCTGACCTGAAACAGGTATGCTACCCTATTAACTGGTGGACTTAAGGAAGAGGTAATTGGGTGACATTACAAGAACAACAGTGCTTATGTAGTCATCAGCAGTGTGGTGGTGTTCTCCAGAAGTCTAAAAGACAGGCAAGGGCCAGCATGGAGTCTGCTGATTGTCAGATCAGTTGCAGATTGAAGCATCAGATTACACTTACCTTAATCTGGCAAAACACTGATTGTTTGATTGCCCCTATCCATGAATGGGCGAATCTTCCCTGCTGAGCTATTGCATTCTCGCAGCTAGCGGCTAAGGCTAAATGAGGATACCGTTTAACACTTTGTCACTTATGTGTACTATTTTCTTAATTCATCTCTCTTACTTTTCCGTCCATTCCCCAAACTTCTTCCTGTTTTCTGTCCCTTTCTTTTGCTACCACCAACACGTTTTGTGGTTATTCCATCTATCTTCCTTACCTGCATTCTTTCTATTCTTCCCTGAATTTCACTGTCCTGCTACTTTCCTTTCCTGCTGTCTCTCATCTACCTCCTCCTCCTCATCAGGCGGATAATTTTCACTGACTGACATGCAAAAAAATAATCTACTCTATAAAAATAAAGTTTTATGGCAGACAACCAGCTCTGGTTTTGCTTTGCTTTTGGATCCTGTTACTGGTTGCTAAGGCCTGTTGTTCCATTTGCTTACACTGTCAAAGATGTTATTTATGTGGCCCTTGCCAGTTCCTCTGAGCCATTCCTGGGACCATTTCTTTATCCTTATGGTCTGCTACTTGTACATTACTATTAACTCTTTTAGGGATACCAGTAATGGTAGGATGCTAAGAAGCATTAGTAATATAAAGTTTAATTTGGCAACATATAAAATGTAGAGCATTTATTTAACTTAACCTGTGTTTTGTTTTGTTTGTTTTTTTAGACCAAACAAGGAAAGCACGTTCTTTATGGCTGTACAGAACTTTTTAATGCATCGCAATTTGTTAAACAGGTAATGGGTGCCTTTTCTGCACACAGATGTGAAAGCCACTTAAATGGCTGGTTCAAACCTAGGGTCCAGATTTGGCCCATCAATCTCCGTAGATTTGAATTTGTTTCTGGCAATCAATAAAAATTGTATTCCAGCACAGAATAACTCCTTCCTACTACCACCATGCCTCAGCTTTTTGCTAGTGTCCTAGAAGAATGGAGTATTTTCTTGAGCTCTACTTGGAAAAGTCTAACCTAATTTTTACTAGCATAGTTGGAGCTGGTCTCTTTAAAAGCAGCTATTTGGTGTGGCCATGCACAGCCTGGCTTTTGGGGTGCCATGTCTGGATCCTGCTGTACAAGACTTTTTGAGGGGCTAGCTTGGAAGTGACCTTTAGGCACTTGGTTTCATTACATGAACCTTCCAAAGGGCATATGTTTACAGAGCCCTGCTGCCACCACAGTAGTGGTTAATGGGATGGTTGAAGTCCAGGTTTTGAGAGACGGGATATTTTTGAACTGGTGATTAAGACCATGTTAAGCTATGAACTCTACATTTTCGCAAGATCTATCATCACATGTGGAAGACATATTAACTTGGTGAGAGTCTCCGAGCATCCACCCTAGGCAATAACCTGTGGGACAAATCCTTATTCCTTCAACTGAGTTTGGACAGGTCAGGTCTCTGCTCTTGCTGTTTTGTTTCAGAGACCACTAGCCCCTTATTCATTGATTAAGACCTTTGTTCAGGGTGTCTCCCATATAACTCCCTCTGTATGTTGCCCAATGACCCTATGAGATCTGAATTTAGTTCTCTTAACGCTTCAAAAGCTGCCATTTAACCCTTTAGAGACGTTCCTCTATTTACACTCCATTCACAAGGTAGTGTTTCTTGAAGCCATCACTTTTGCATGGCATCTGCCTGAACTGGCTTTATACTGCAAAGAACCTTTTCTGGTCTTTCAAAGGGACCAGGGGGTTTTGAGGCCCAGGACATCATCCCTAGAGTAGTTTCTGCCTCTCACCTAAACTGGGACAGTATTTTACCTGCCCTGTGTCTGGCTCCAGTTCACCAAATGGAAATTTTCCTAAACTGTCTGTATGTGGTTTGGGCTGTGAGAGCCTATCTCTCAGCCACTGTTTTTTACAGACAGTGTGATTTAGTTTTTGCCGTCCAGAATGGTCCCGGTAAGGTTGCACTGGCCTCCCACCACCATCTTTGGGTGGCACAGACAGACTATTAAGCTTAAGATCCAAAGGGTCAGGTTTCACCCTTTCCTCTGTAGGCACACTGTACTAGAGCTGTGGGTGTTTCTTGGACTTTTCTTCATTTAACTACAGATTTGCAAGGTTGCCCCCTAGTTTTCTGTTCACACATTCTCTAATTTCTAACCAGTAGATGTTTAGGCCTCTTCTGTTGCCAGCCTCAGACATAAGGTCCTTATGGCAGCTGTTTGTCTGTAGGCAGTCCCCTGTTTTGTTGTTTTTTTTATGGGTTTGTTAGCATTTGATGCGTTTCCCACCTCTCAGTTGGACTGCTTTTGTATGTCCTGAAGTTGAATAACTTCCTGTTTCCCTCAGTGGATGAGAAAGAAAAATAAAATTTTTGTACTCAACTTTAAAATTATTTTTGTGTTTCTGATCATGCTCTTGATAATGCTTGCTAAAAGCTAAGTTGTCTTGGTGGTGCTACGGGGTCATCCTGGTCTGGCCTACAGTTTTTATGTTTGCCAGATTCCAATCCTCCAGTAGGCGGCAGTATAACCTGACGATCAATGACTTCATCAATAGACTTCAAAAAAAGATTTTTATGGTGAGTGCAAAAATCCTATTATAATATGGCTAATGGTAACCAATGTGCAAAAAATTACAACTGAAAACTGCTTTGCCCTATACATATTACCTTAGACAAAAGCCTCAAGGCATATACACATTACCTCTGACACTGTTCTCCTTTAAGATATGAAATAAAGAATATAACGGGAACTATGGGGTCAGTGTTTTTCCCCATAGTTCTCCTTAGGGTAACGGGAGTACACAAACTAGCGTCCTCCCGTTACCCTAAGCTCAGTATACCGCGAGCTACAGCTGAGCCGACAGTCTCATTGTCACAGGTCGGCTAGAACTATGAGGTGAGTGGAAATCACTCATCTCATAGTTCTCCTTTAACATATTTCTATTTCTCTTTGGTGCACTGGAAAATAACTTCTCAAACTTGATGTATTCATCTGTGATTGCTGCAGGTTGATTTTGGCATACATTAAGCTGCAGGTAAAACCAGACATGTAGAAATCTGAAAATAACAAATGGTAAAGTAATTATGAAAAATGTTTCGTAATTTTTTAAAAGGTAAAAGTAGTGTCAGCGATTCTAAATTTTTGTGGAGATCCACTGTACTTCAAGAAATTACATAGACATATGTAAACATTTACTATTTTACCTGCACTAGAAAAATAGATGTTTAATCCTGATTGACTGAATTCATTTTTAAACATCATTTCCATCATGCTTGGGTCCCTAAAATGTTAGTTTTCAATTTGAATGTGCTTTTAGATTGATGTGGGAAGAGATGCCGTGCTTCAAAACTCTGCCTTATTGTGACTGCCCAATTCAACATCCCCAAGCCTGCCTATAACATGACACCGCTTACATACCTGCAGGAAAATGTAGTTTTTTGGTTGCCAGGTATATCTGTGATGTAGCGTTACCATTATCACCCTCCCCATATCTACCACAACAGCCTGAAAAAGTACTTTCAGATAAAACGGTATTATTTTAAAATCAAATGCCAGTAGGGATTTACTTTCCTATGGCATGTTTTTAGGGGAGACTCCTATGGTTGATCCAAATTATTGACTCACTAGTTAGTGAATAGAGCATAAGGATGACCCCCCAGGAGCTTGCACAAAAACATGTCAGCCCCCATTGACAGATTCTCTGTAATGAAGGTGGTTATATCTGTGTAATTTTATATATTTATTTGTTTGTTTCCTGTTTCCCTTCTAGTTGTCTCAGCTTGGGCAGAAGTAACAGATGACATGGCCCCTGATCATGTTCCGCTTGTCTCCAGGGTGTGATTTGACCATACACGGACTATAAGACCCAGCCTATACTTGCACCGTTCCATGAATACTTCTACTGGCAGAGCCTTGCACTAATGCCTGCAAGTCTGACAGAAAAGTAACTCATTTCTGCTGAGTCAGAGATAAAACTGTGTTGGCTCCACTAACTCCTTGATGAAAACTCCCATATTTAACTTTGCTGGAGGATCGCCAGCCCCAGTAACATTGGCATTACCATTCTCTATGTACAAAGAGGTTATTTCCAAATAAAAACAAGATATTGTTTAATTTTATTAAGCACATCGTGTGTGTTCAGAGTTCTACTTTCTGAAATTGGTTACAGTAAACAGTGGATTATAGTACTGGAATACACTGCAAGGTAAGAGTCAATACCGAGTATATGGGCAGATACTCCTACTCGCCCTAATGCCCTGATACCTTCCCCGATACCAGAACTTCTGGTCAGAGGGAGATTTCCGCTGACCGGCAGTACCACGAGGGAACATGGAGCTGGTTTCCCAGCCAATCAGGAAGCCGGGCGCCGGGTAATGACCCACCTCCCGGCTTCCTGATTGGCCAGGAAGCGGACCCCATGCTGATTGGCTGGGAAGCTGGCTTCACTGGCCAATCAGCATCGAGCTGGCCAAACAGCATGGAGCTGGCTTCCCGGGCAATCAAAAAGCCGAGAGGTGTATAATGACAAGCGCGCCCGGCTTCCTGATTGCCCGGGAAGCCGGCTCTATGCTAGCGGAAGTATCAGTATCAGCAGGTACCGAAAGATAAATATCGGTAGTCGATACAAAAAAAATTGTATCGGTGCATCCCTAGGTAAAGTGAATAAGATTAATTATCTTCTTACAATGGCACCTGGAAGTGGGGGGGATATATTAGGCAGCATGTGAACATTTTGTCCCTGCAGCTGATGTGTTGGAAGCAGAAAAAATGGGCAAGCATAAGGATTTGAAATTCTTTGACAGGACCAAATTGTGAAGAAACTCCAAAACTTCAGTGTTTGTGAGATGTTCCCTATCTGCAGTGGTCAGAACTTACCAAAAGTGGTCAAAGGAAGGAAAACCAGTGAACCGGCAACAGGGTCATAGACAGTCAAAGCTCATTGATGCACATGGGGAGCAAAGGCTGGCCCGTGTAGTCTGATCCACTAGAAGAGCTACTGTAGCTCAGATTGCTGAAAACGTTAGTGCTGGTTCTGAAAAAAATCAAATTCTACCAATGCATCCCTCTATGTATGATGAATAGTAATAACATAGACATGTGAGGTGTAAAATGCTGTGATTATGAAATACTTACACTTGCAGAGCATTCACTTCCTGCTTTAAAAGGTCAAAACGACTTCAGTTTACCAAAGCAATGCACACTGGGATTGCCTTGTCATCAGCAGAGCATTGCTGGGAAATCTCATTTGTAATCTCACGAGATCTCAAGGAAAGGCATTTTCCTCCCCTGAGATGATGCGCATGGTCACATGTCCTAGTCACATGTCTAGTCACATATGCCATAAATCAGGAAGTAGAGGGAGATCTAGTAATCTGCCCTTCGTTAACATGGCCACTGTCAGAAGACTGGGGAATAAAAGAGAAATAAGTTATGCAAAGAATACAAAGCCGGCAACTATCTAGAAGTATGTGTTTGTAGATTGTCGTTACTAAACATTTCTAAAGGTGTGTTTGTTGTTATTTTAAACATAGGGGTAAAAGTCTGCTTTAAAGTGTGTTATAAAAGTTTTTGTCATTTTTTTCCCCCCATTTTTGCTGACTGTCTCCAAATGGAGTCATTCCTCCTGACTTCATTTCACAAAGATAGAACAGGAAGGGAAAGGAAATCTCTCCAAACAGAAGGAACATACCCTTTCAGACAGTTTGTTTTTAGCTCCATTCCCACCTATGCTATGCATTAACATGCAATAATTGCCCCTGGCACCCCAAATACACTGTACAGTAGCTGCCAACTCATAACATATGGCAGCACATCACAATGCACATAACGTGCATTAGCAAAAAAAGCTGCATGTCAGTTAATTGGTCTTTTAAGGGTCTGTAAGGACCCCATTTAGATAAATATGCTGCCACAATGCATGGTAACACACAACAGAAGTGTAAATGGGTCCCCACCCTCTACTGCTATTCTGCCATGGCAACATTCAACTTTTTAATTTTCTGTCCCAATGATAGTGGCCTTGCAGCTTTCTGGTAGGGACAAAAACCTATTAAGCAGGAATTGTGTTAGTAGAGTGTTGGATCCGATCCTTGAAGTGAGGTAAACGTTGCAAGTTAAAAACAAAAAGACTTCCCGTAGTATCAAGTAGAACCTACATTAATTTTATTGATAAAAGCCAGGCAGGGGTTTTAACATTTCCACAAAACAAAAAAAGTTTAGGCTTTAAATACACCTAGGGGTCTATTCATAAAGCAGTGAACCTGACCTTCACCAAACATTCTGCAGGGGAATCTTCCCGCTGCATGTGTTTTTAAATCCTTGGTTCTCAACTGGTGGGTCGTGATCCCATGTTCAGTGGGTCACCGCATGCCTTCCACTTGTCAAGGCGAGAGGCTTCACAGCCTCCCCCAGCACAGCATTGCCAGGTCTTGCGCCAAGCAGCCATTTATATGCTGCTCGGCGCCGAGTGTTAGCTTCAGGTTGGGGTGGGCTGGAGCTGTGGCCGCGAGGGAGCTCCATCCATGCATGCATTGCTTACAGCTCCCTCGCATGTCCCGTAGAAGTGCCTGGACTGGAGTGACATCACGTTCTGGCTCCTGGCACCTCTACCAGGGCGCAAGGGAGTTGTACAAGCAATGCACATATGGATGGAGCTCCGTCACAGCACAGCAACCCACACTGGACCCTAGGCTGAGGATCCACTCCAGTTCTCGTAAGGTAGGGAGACTGGGTGGATCTTACAAAAAAAAAATTTTGGAGTGTATATGTGTGAGATTGTGTGTGTCTTTCAGTGTTTTTCAGGGCCCGTTCACACTAATACAATGTGTTAATCAAACAATCCAATGCGATTAACGCACTGTACCATACAATTGCACCTACTACACGTTCTGGTGAGGGAGGTGCTTTGCCATTCATTTGAATGGCACCTCAAATGCACCGTCTTCCCAGAGTTCAATTGCCCACACCGGAATGCAGGTACCGCAATGCTGTGCGTTCCATTTCAGTGAGACTTTGGTCGCAACTCAATGACCAAGGACAAATGTGGGTCCTCATGTTACACCGGTTGAGAACCACTGTTTTTAAATGATAGTACTTGATTCACCACCTGTGAATGTTTGGTAGTAGCCGTTGTAGTCCGCGCTTTATGGATATTTCCCCCTTGTGAACCCAATAAGTGGCAGCTGCAGCGAGAAACCAGCAAGATCAAAAATCTAGTGGTCAGTGAATCAAACCATAAAAAGACACCGCGCTATCTCCCCCTTCGAAAACCTATTAAGGTATTCAATAAAAGATCCCTTTCATCAAGTGAAGTGATTTTATGCTATGTGCATTTTATTTTCGCTTTTTGGGAGCTGTACTTTGAGTGGCATACTTCTGCGGGAGTAGTTCCATACTCGCCCTGTAGGGGTTAAGCTGTGAGATCGAGATTGTTTTAAGGAGAAGAGAGGAGCCAGTATTTGAGCGATAATGGATACATGGCTATGGAATTATCAGCGTTGAATATCGCATCATGTGCAAATAGTAGTACTGGTGGTGAGAAGATATTCCCAGTCCATATAAGCAGAAGACGTATTCCTTTCTGTGATATCTCATCAGTTGGATCTGGTGTTTATGAGCACTAGATTGCATGAAGGTGGAGCACGGAGAAGCATCGTTTGAATAATGTTTTCTTATGAACTTTATTTTGATTCAGTTTTTTCACTTATTGATTATATGATTTTTGGTTGATTTGTATATTTCACCATTTGCTATCAAAGTTTATGCACACCACTGACAGGAAGTCTTTTGGGGTTAATATAGGATATTTTGCAATTTATGTTTCTATATCACACTATTTGTTACACACTTAAATAGGGACAATTGTTTCCTATTGTGTTCACTTGATGAAAGGGATATTTTATTGAATACCTTTCTAAGTTTTGTGTTTATATGTTTGGTAATATTCACCTTCTTTGCTTCATAAGTAGACCCATTAAAGTAACAGCAGCAGTAGGTTTGCTGCAAATATGCATCTGATCCTCCGATTAAATGCATAAATACTGTTATAATTTCCAGTGGACATCAGTTCTTTGAAAATCATAATTTGTCTACATAGTGAACATAAATCTTGGTGTGAAAGGGGGTGGAACTTTCTAAATCAAGTGGATCATGAAGAAGTGGTTGAAAATTGATGAATGATCACAATCGCCTCTTCATAAATAACCCCCTAGAACGTTAAATGCCAGGCTTAAAAGTGTGCGTTGTGTGTAAATGGCCTCATCCTCGCAATGTGGCTCTTCATTTTTTACTTACAATAACATAAATCACCAGCTATTGCAGGAGAATGTGAAGCTATTTCATTATGTACAGCTGAAGTTTATTAGGCCTTGGAAAGGGAATATAGCTGCCAATTTCAGGTATTGTGTATAACTGCTCCCGACATCTGTTTCCCCACATATTAACAATTACTCCATTTCGTACTTGTTCTACCTCTTCCCAAATGCTGAGTTTGCTGTATTCAGTAATGTATTCCATGAAGAACCATGTCTGCTGATAGAGGGTATACCACTCACAAACCCTAAATATGCATCATAATATAACCACAAGGAAATACCAAAAGATCACAATTCATTTCACCTGTGCATTTAATAAAAATCATTTCATATACTGTAGTTTGAAGTAAAGTCGACTTATGTACCCCATGTTGGCTTGATATACACCAATTTTATTTTTTGAACAGTAGAAAGAGAAAAGACCAGCAGGCAGACTGTACAGAATTGCACATTATTGTAAGGCTGGCCATACACCTATCAATCTTTTTTTGTTCAACCCGTGGGCTGAATGAAAAAAAATTGACCAATTCCTCCAACACAAACCATCTGTCGATCGAGGAATACCGCTGTTCACATTGTAATCCTGACAGGTGTCGCCGGCACCTGTCAGAATACCCGATTAGAGCGAGCAGCTCATTGGCTGCCGGCTCTGATCGATCAGCTGATTGCGGAATGCCGGCTGAAAGGGAGAAGACAGTCCCACATACTGTGTGAATTTCTGCCGGTACACTAATTTGCACTGCAACCAATCAGCTTCTCTGTTTCATTTTCAAATCTTACCTGAGCAAACTGTAAAGAGATGCTGATTGGTTGCCATGGGCAACTGTTCTAGATTCCGTCTGCTCCAGTTTTGATAAATTCCCCCCATGGTGTTTGTTTGCAGAAGAGTAGAAGGCAAAGCAATTAACTCATCAGTGTAGTGTTCTCAGTCCAACCAGCAGGATGGGTGTGGGTTGGCGACCAAGCCTGCCAGGATATAAATATGGGAGCTGACATTGTTGACCTTTTTTTTATTGATCTGGCCTGCAGGCCATGGTTTCCTTCACTACTACATTAATGAGATATTTCTAACAAGCATTTGTACACCTGGTTTTGGGATCCCTGAAGTTAATTTGCTTATTTTAGTCAGTCACCCGCTAAGTAGTGAACAAAGAGTTAAGGATGACAACTCTGAAGGCTGCACCTTCAGAAAGTCACCAATACCAACTCCTATATGTCTATCTTAGCCGAGTCCCTTTACTGTAGTGGAGAAAAGTGAGGCCACTAACCTGGATGTGCTATGGGGCAGGGTGGCCCTTGAACACAAGACAGGATGGAAAAAATTATAGATTTTCTGAACGTCAACTGTGTTTTAGCTGCTTGGCTTGAGTTCAGCTTTTTATGGGTGGACTTAAATGATTTGTCTTTTTCATCTTAATGTACAAAATGGTTTACAGATAGTCGTGTTTGGCTTCTGGACAGCACCATAAAATAGATCTATGCTTGTAAAATAAATAGTCTGTAAAACCCCTTTGCAGATGACTAGTCAAGAGAACGATCCTAATATGAAGAAACGGTACAGATAAATTGTGGACCGACATCTGCCCGCCACTTTCCACCCATGGAATGACGGGCAGAATACACAAATATATTCCTGTTATATATTAGCTAAAATTTCGTAATCAAGCACATGAAGTTCAAACCTGCACTAGATTGTTTTCCCTTTTACAGTAGTATAGAAGCAAGTAAAGCATTATGGTGAACACCCAAACATGCGGGAAATAATCATTATTATTTTTAAGGTCTTTAACCCCTACCAACTGAAAGCAGGATTGTTGCTGTATTCCCTTAAAGGTACTCTGCCATTAGAGAAGAATGAAGGCTGCCATTGCCGGCCTCCTTCTGAAAATGCAATTTTACTGGATGTGTCTGACTTCAGTATTTTTGAGTAAGAGAGCAAAAGCAATCATGCTATCAGTGAATCTCAAATAAGTGTCTGAGTTTCTTATTGCTTTCTGGGTCAGAGACTCAGACAGCAGTGAAAAGAAAGCATCAGCATGATAGCCAGGGAACTAGCATTCTTCAATAGAAACTTCACCGCTTTATCATGACAGATTTATTTTAAAGAACCAGAGATCTACTGCCTAACTTTCTCTTGAGATGCCTGCCTTACAGAATGTCCTGTTCCTGACAGCCTCATTCCTACTATACAGAGGCATTGCCTTATGATCAAGTGCTCTGATTGGATCACATGACAAAATAGTGTAGAAAATACATTGATTTGTATCTGCCTGTCTATCTACTGCTCCTGCTGCTTCAAATATTTTAATCTGGTGATCCTACCAGTAACACCCTCTAGGATGACAACACCCATTCACTGCATTGTATCTATGGAAGAGCATTATTGACTCCCTACAACAGGAAGTGTCTTAGGGCTGTTCTTCTCTGTAACATAGGAGGATGGCATTGTGTTAGGACTAATAACAACCTCCCCCTCTTCTTCTCATCTCCAGAACACAGGAGGGTGGCTTTCTGTATATATTGTAATACTGAGAATAAATGAAACATAGAGGTTTACTTGCTGTACATGTTTCAATCTTTTTACTGGGATCATTTGAGCTTATTGAACTAGAACTGGCTTTGGAAGGCTGTCCACTTCCCATCCCAATGGAGTACTGCCTTGTCTTGTAACAGTATAATTCAAGCTTTCAGCAGAACAGTGCATATTTCTAGTTGATTAAAAAAAAACTTTGCTTTCTATATATATAAGGCGAGTGCCATTGCGATGCCATTTCTATATATAAACCATTGCCAGAGTGACCTAAGGCTGGATAATGTTCCATGTGGGCTGGTGTGAAAGGGACCATATAGTTTCTGCTTCCCTTTCAAAACAAACTGCACTGCATACACCAGCCACATTGGAAAGAAAAGGATTAAAATGAAGATCAAAGAGGATGGGGCAACCCTGGCACGTGCCGTTTAAGGTGGGGAAGGCAGTCAATAAAGTCAAATTCACCTGGACCTTTGCAGACAGACACGAATAGAGAGCCTCAGGGGTGTAACTAGAAACCACAAGGCCCCCCCCCCCCCCCCAACACCCCCCCCCCCCCACAAAAAACAAA